GGGCCTCGACTGCACGAGGGCCTGCTTCGACCTCGGGTCCCAGGCGTTGAGCTTGGCGTCCCAGCCCCCCGTTAGCACCGTCCCCGTGCTGGCGTTATACTCCACGCACCTCACCGCCTTCTCGTGCAACCCCAGGAGGGTCACCGCTCCGGTCTCGAGGTCGACCCTGACACACCAAGTTACATATAAGGTGACGTCACCGAAGCCGGATACAGTGGCGGCTACGGTTTCACAGAGAGCATTAAAGAGAAGGTACCGATTGACAAGAGCCAAACTGTCTTGTTACGACCATGATAAGTGCTTCACAGTACGGTGTAAGAGAAAGCCGGATTTAAGAGAGACTTACTGGCTTGTCCCGACCCTCTCTTAAACCGTAGCCGCCACCGCAGATAAAATTCAGTATTGCCCATTCACCATGTTGCAGTTTTTCATCGCCAAGACGCGTACATTAGTGTGATGACTTGATACGGCGGTGTGTGGTGGGCAAGCGCAAGCGAGGAGAGTAGGCTACACCGAGCGCGAGCGGACAAAAGCTCCACCAACCCCTGCTCGAGATCGCACCATATCATCTCTTACGTTTTCAAAGCAAGAGGGTTGACGGACAGAGATCGATTGTCTCCAACCCTAATCCGGCACTTGTATTCAAAACACTTGGAACGAAACTTCGTACAGCTAGCGCGAGCACTCAAGAATCTCCAGTTTTGGACGAGGCCGACGGTCTTTCAAGTTGCGAGGCCTGTGCCACAGATGACCGCTACACATGGTAGTTTTGAGTGCAGGGGTCCTTAGCCGTTCGCTGCTCATTAATGGGTGCTCAAATCCTTAGATTTTTCAGGTTTTCGAGGCCCCACTGCTTCACGGTCGACGAGGGAAAGGGATGAAAGGGATGGCTGAAACCTTCTCGCGATAACAAACTAACGCAAGCACCGCAGCGGGAAAGACGAAAGGTGCGGCAAAAGAAAAGAAGTAAAAAGAAAAAAAGGTCCACATTGGTGTGACTTTCCTGTTGTGTGACCCCGGCTGATGCGTCAGGTACGTGAATACGACGAATAGCCTGAATACCGGCGCCAGAAGGTATGTGACGAACATACGCACACTTAGAACGTGCCAGGTTCGTGAGTGCGGGCGCAATCTGTGGAGGTCTAAAAACAACCGACGTTACTCACTGCTTGACTTGTTTGTCCAGCCCCCCGCAGAAGCCTGTGGCCGAGGTGTCCTTGAAGCAGCAGTCCAGCTGGGCCATCTTGCTGGGGATTACCCTCTTGGACTGGTTCTGCCGCGCATCGTACAGTCTCAGCGTCTGCACCACCGAAACCGAGAACAACACCGCAGACAAGAATGGAACGGGAGCGAGACATGTGTCAACAGGCGAACAATGCTGTCATTCAAACAGGACAAAGGGGGGGGAACAGCAGACAGACAGACAGACAGACAGGCGCTTTTCTCTGGTATAGCAGTCGCAGAGATGGCACCCCCATGACAGCGTATACATGTAAGCATTTCTCTACAACTAGTCTAGGAGGGTGCTAACACCAGCCGTCAGGAAAGCCCTCGACATGCTTCCAAAACTTTGTCGGCAGTGGTACCCCCCCTGGTTGTGGCGAAAGACAGCAGTACGCTAAAAGAAACGCTATAATAACACGGGGGTGCCATCTCTCCGACTTACGGTAGTCTAATTGTTCATGCTGCGTCACCAGCGACAAGTGTTCGGCAAACAACGCCGATTGGGCGCGCCTAAAAACGTTGCGCGATCCCGGATCGTTCGTTCATCGCACGAGACGACACGAGCACGGAGAAAAGTCTGCAAGCCAGGAAGTCAGCGGATGTGGGCGTACGCTGCGACTATCTATCCATCACTGTGGAAGGGAATTGAGAAAACAAAAAAAATTCCTGTGCGGCCAGCCTCCCGTGGCATGACCCTGTGGCCCGTGCGTCCAAAAAAGCACACCGACAGCTATCAAGAATCAAGAAATCGCCGCGCCCAAAATAAGAAGGGTGATGACACCGCACACACCCTCGAACGAGAGACACACCCCAAGCCGACCGAAGATACCTGTACACGAGTTATATTATGCGAAATTGGACGTGTTCGAAAAAAAACCCAACCCAACGGCCGAGGTCGGTTAAACACCGCCAGCCAAAGCAGCCTACTCCTCGGCTAGACACCATCCTCGACAACTTCAGGATAGAGCACCAAGCCAATTGTTGTACCTAAGCCACAGGTGTAGGCCGCACCCCTACGAGGGGCAAAAGGCGTGCCTCATGCTTTGGGATTCATGCCGACGTACAGCAGTGGTGGCGGGTCCGGCTTAGCGACCCCGTAGTGTCAGGAGGGAATGTGGTTCATTCACTTTTCAGGACAGATTCCTATTGCCAGTACACACGCAGTCTAGTGGCTTTGGCCGGGGCAAGGGTGCCACGCGAAGGTATCGTCTCTACAACGGGCATTTTCCCGGCTTTGTAGGGATGCGAGGTCAATGGTCTAACGACTACGGCATGCACGACTATGAGTACCCCCCCCCCCCCTCTCTTTCTCTCTCTTGCTAGTCTTTTTGGTCTGTTGCTCTCAGTCCTATTTGGCCGAGATACTTTTTTTGGGGGCATTCCAAAGGTTCACGATGCTGTTGCTGCTGTCGATGCTGCACGCCTTGCTGCTGCGTCTCGAGCATGAAAATGAGGAAATGCATATCATAGGGGTGCGCTGTCGCCGGTGATCTCAACCAGGCATATCATCCATCAACTCATCGTGTGTGCATGCTGCTGTGCGTCTTTCTGTCTCTAGTTGGTGCTCCCCCTTTTAGTATATTGCCGGTTGATCTCCGCGCCTAACTTCCCGACGAACGCCTGTTCCGTCCCCGTTCGGTCTCCTTGTTTTCCAATATGGTTGTTCGCATCGGCGGCACCTATCGAACGTAAACGCTGGCAGCTTGCTTGTTATGTGGGGAGCACATTGAATCTTCAATTCAGAATTTGCTGCCTATTTCGACAGACTGCTGCTGACTGCATCTCGCAAAGTCTTAGGCGTTCGCTACAAGTATTCATCCGAGGACAGGTTGTCAAATATTTGTCGATTCATTTTGCTGCCTTTCCTCTCTCGTGGCAAGCAGACGCACAACTGTAACTCTCGCATCTATGATATACCAGAAGCATGTTAAAATATCCACCATCGTATCTGTAGTCTAAGTCTCACACCTATCGTGAACCGGAGCACCTATCCACCGGAACGCAGGCAATGTTTCATTTAACACATATTATTTAACCGTCATTATTTGCTGCGAAATATTTACCATATTATATCTCGGCAAATGATCCGTTTCCCCGGCGTCGGTGCCGTGTTCTCAAGAGCTTCTGCTCTGTACTAAGGAAAATTCATGCGTTTCGGCGGGGGCGTGCAGCGTGCAGCTGCTTTTTTCCCACGCGCGCGTAATCAATCCGCGAAGGCAACCCATACGCCGCGCTGTGGAAAGAGGGGACGGCTGCTGCTGCTGCTCTTGAGTGCATGCACTTCACATATCTATGTCTACACAGCGATCTGGTTGGGGGCAGGAAAGAGTGAGGATCGCAAGGTATAGCAGTAGGTGCACGGACGAACAAACACCAAGGACAAACCACCTCGCCACAAACTCGTGGTTTCCGTGCGATAGTGCGATGGCCTCTTGCACCCGCGGGAAAAGGCCCCGGGACTTTCTACAATACTGATGCTGCTGTACCGCTGCTGTTCGATATGTACGTCATCATCGTCGAGAGTGCATGGATTGTGATGCTTCTCGGTTCACAGCACTAGTAGTGCTGAGAGGCAAGCTGAGTCTCCTCGCACAGCAGGTGATGGTGCGGAGACAGCAGCAGTCAGTTGTGCGACACAGAACTCGCGCACGTGCACATTCGGCTAACAGACCGTGCCACATCCACACACAAGCGGCGACAACAAGCTGCCCTATTTGGGAGCTGCTGATATGTACAGTAAGCTTGCCGGAAGTCCCCTTGCACAAGTAGCGGCGATATACACCTGAATGGGATGGAGCATGCCCACCCAACTTTGCAAACCAATTCGAAAATGTTGTATACAACAGCGGCCAACGCCTGCCCCTGTCCGCACACAGCAGACACATCGTCAATTGTAAAGAAACGAATAAGTGCGGCAATCCTGTATTCATGTAGATGATACATGGAGGACCCCGCTGCTTCGTGTGCGTGTGTGCTGAATGATACAGGATGGACCAGAGTACTGTACCGACGGGGGTAAAGGGGGGCCCTCTTGCGTGTTGCAAACGATATGCTGTTGCTACATTTGTACAGACCAAGACGTTGGGGAACAGAAAATAAAAATTCATCCGTTGTGCGCTTGACTGTTCAAGCCCTCGGCCTTTCAAGGCGAGGGACAGAGACCCCGTTAGTTCGTTTCGCCCAGAGCGAGGGGCAACTTGCGCCTCCCAGCAGAAGGTCATATACGATCGGTTCGTTGTTGTTGCGAGTCAACCCCACCCCGGCGAACTCTCCGTTCTCCATGTCTCTATCAAGACGTCGCCAATACTCTGTCGTGCCCTACACCAAAAAAAACACAAGACACAACATCGCGTGCACTTGTCTCACAGCAGCTGTCTCGCTCGCTCTTACCGAATCCCAAGACGACGCCAGTAGAAGGTCGCTGGCCGGCGCAAAGCACACGGCCGAGATGCCGTCCGTGGGGGGGTCGCTCAGCTGCATCTCATTGTTGCCTGCCGACGACATAGCTGCTGCTGGCTGTTCTTCCTTCCTTCTCTCCGTACCCCTCTCGGCTACAGCAGGTATGAATGAAATACGTGTTCTGTTTTTGTTGGCGGGCATCACACCGCCGTTGATCAAGAAACTTTTAAAAATCCAGCGCATTATACGTGCCACAATGGGTGATATTTGGCTCTTCTCCGGTATCTACGGTATCTCCTAAATTTCCTCCCGAACCGGCAATAGATTAGCCGCCAGTGCTTTACAGGGCGGCACTTTACTCACTACAAGAGAGCAGCGTTGTTGCACTTGCCTGTATACAGACGCCCTTCTTCTTCAGGAAAGCGCTGGTTCGTCCGCATGCTGAGTGTTGTCTCTGTCACTTTTGTTCGGTGAGACGCAGGCATCGCAGCATCGTTTTTTGGGTCATTTTTTTGGTTCATGACAACAGCGTCATGCCGCTCTACCCGGCTTCCCGGCTTGTCACATAGACGTAGATTGTATTGTAGACGGCGAGAGAGGGACGGGAGTCGACTTAGCACTGAGCATGAAGATATTGTTGTAGCAGCGAAATAATCCCTCACCCTACCAATATCGGTTACAGCGAATAATCCCTCACCCAACCAATGTCGGTTATTATAGTAGCATTGAATCACGCCGTCCCCCCGTACGCGCGTCCTCGCAGAGCGAGAGAAAGCCAAAAAAGCGCCCATGCGGATGAGGTTCAGTCCTTGTTGGCATGCAGCCGCGATCTCGCTGCTCCAGACCTGCTCAGCAGGGGAGGGCCGTCACGTCCACCACGCACGAGACGCACCACCCCTTGCAACACCAACGGGAGCATCGCCACCACTGCCGCTGATGGCCTACGCGTTTTCCCCGTCAACAAGAAGAGCGTTACATCCAGCTACAACCACCACCTCCTCCTGGAGAAGCTTGGCCTCAAAGCCTCGCCCCGGCCACCGCCACCGGTCCGCCACGCAGAAAACCACGCGGATGAGCGAGGCGGCACGCCCCGGCGCCGACAGCGGCGTTGCCCTGTGGTTAGACATGCGCACCGCCGTTCTCCCCGCCGCTCAGACCCTCAAGACGCTGTACGGCGAACTCCGGCAGAGGGAGGAAGCGCTAGGGCGCAGCCCGGAGGATCCGGACTGGACCCTGAGCCGCGTGCCGAACCCAGTCGGGGCGTTGCTCTACGCGGCGGAGCCGGAGGAAAGGGCGGCGGAGGAGATGGCGGCACTCGGCGAGGGCGCGGCGGCGTTCCCGTGCTTTCGGCTGGGCGGCACCGACGGCACAGCAGTAGTGGTGGATGTTTCGAGCGGGCACGTTGTAGGGGTTGGGGTCGACCCCGTCGGTGACAGCGCCTCCGGGGGGGCTGCGGGTAGTTCGGCGGCCATGGGCATTGTCGTGGCGGCACAGCAGCAGCGCGACGGCGGCGGCCTCGTGTTTTTGCCGGGGGTGCGGCCGTCTGTTTGGGAGAGCGGGGACATGGGCACGGTTCTCCGCATTGCCTCGAGCGCCTGCGCCGGGGCCGGGAAGACGCTCGTCGTCACGGTGAGGAGCGTGGGGCAGCTGCACGAAGCGGCCATGGCGGCGTTTGCGGCGTCGCAGACAACAGTGCTCGGTGCGGGCGGGACGGGCGCGGCCGAGGGCGGCACTACTCCTCCGCCGATGGCGTTGCTCATTGAGCCCATGCCCGAGCTTTGGGAAGCTGGATTGCTGTACCTTTGACCTGATACTGTTGCGCCCGGTAGAGACAGAAGTACTGCTGGTTTGTGTGGTGCATGAGGGAACCCTCTTCGGCTGTCCTCAAATGATCGAGGCCTTATTGGATTGACACCTGCTTGGTTTAGTTGGCGTGCAGGGTGGTCAATGCAGATGGAGATTCACTGGTTTGGGACTTTTGTCCCGAAACGAAGGCCGTCATGTCTTGACCCGACGCTCTGGGAAGGAACAAACATGGTCGTTGTTCCGGTTCGGTACACGATGTTGGAGCCTTGTTACCCGATGCCCAGGAAGTCGCCCTGATTTTGGCATCGTGTACCATACAGGACATGCCATTGAATGCGTCATCGAGTGCCCTTCGCTCTGTGAGTCCTCGCAGCTGACCGCACAGGGGTGCAGCAACGCTTCCGGCTAAAATATCAATGATGAAAATTTTAGTTGATCACCCCCTCACCCCCTCATCTTCAACCATACGTAGTTTCCACACCCTTGTTGTTGTGCATGCGACCTATTCTCTGCCTCTCAGTCTCGTCTATCTCTCCGTCAGTCGAAGTCGAGAAGCCTCACTCTCCCTGAGGCTCCACACTCGTGTGTGTAGATAGAGCACACAATACTAAATCCAGCGAGGGTCAGTTACGAAGCCGGTGACAAGAATACACAAGGTTCGGGGGCAGGAAAGTGTTAAGCCCGATCTCTTTCCACGAACAAACAACTATTTAGCTCGTGAGCCTTTACGAGAGGAAGCGCCAACAAGGCTCACCCGGCCCCTTGTATTCCACTAGCCCCAACACCTTTGTCTGGCGGCCGGATCCCTCGATCTTTGTCGCCCTATCGGCTTGCGTGGTCTTGTTCCAAGTTTCCCGTCGCCGCGGCCGCCACCCGCGGCGACCACACCCGTGAACAATTTATTCGCGTCCTTCATCCGCGCGCTTGCGTGGGGACCCTGCTTGAAAACCCTACCACCCAACACAGGATTTCTCGGTAGAGGACAAAGGAAGAAGGCCAAGGCTCAGACTAAGGTGTCACATCTCCCGATCACCGTTCCTCTTTTTATACCTCACCAGGAGCAGCCCGAGCAAACCTTGCTGATCCAAAGCAAAATATCTCTCGTTATCAATCGAGCGCAAGCACATCATATTGATCCGAATCTGGGAGGACTCTCCTCAACAAACGAGGAAGAGGAAAGCAGGAGGCCCAGGGTCGCACTTCCGGTCGTCGCTGGACCCAGTTCTGTCTCCTTTCGTCTGTCTGCGACCTTACCGCCCTACTTATAGCGCAAGGAACCGTTGCTGATTCAATTCCCCGGCACGGGAGCACCAGCAAAAAAGCTAGGCAGGGTTCTGTTTCACCAAGCCCAGTAGGTTTAGCGTCTCCGCGAGGTTATCCAACTAGCCCCAAGGAACCGTTGCTTATCCAGATCAAAAGGACCACCCAGCGCCAAAGCACAATTTAGCACGAAAACTACATAGGAAGGTCCAGGCTGCTGTTGTTTCGCAAACTCCAGCATCCCCTAGTCTCTCTGCGAGGTTGTCCAATCAGCCCCAGGGAATCGTTGCCGACCCATCGCTAAAGGGCTCTGCAGCGAGGAAAAGGTCAGGAAAACAAGCTAGGCAGAGGCTCGGGTTACCGTTTCGGTCTCCTCCTCGAGGACCCCAGGTTAATCTTCTTGATGTCCACCCCGATCCCGTTTCCCAGTCGCCGAATGACGAACTCTTGCTGGGGCGTCACGAGCGAGATGACCTTGCCCGGTCTGCCTAGCCTCCCGGCGCGCCCCCCTCGGTGCACGTACCCCTCCCCGTCCAGCGGCAGATCAAGGTTGAAAACATGCGTAATCTGCCGGGCCGCAACAAGTACAATGCATGGAGTGGGTTGGTGCTGTTGGGGCGCTTGACTTCGGCGGCAAAAATCGGGAAAATCTCGGCCTTCATCGGTGCAAAGAGCAGCGTACGGAGCACCTGTCTCGAGTGATTGACTTCCCCGGGTGGCGCCAATGCGAACAATCACAACGCAGAAGAGGGACAGCAGCAGTGGGCTTTGCAATCCCTGAAAGGCGGCCGAGCGCAGGGTTTCCTCTCTCGAGTCATCTAGCTAGTAGACGTTTTCGCCAAAGCAAGCATGTTCGTCAACCGTGCTCCGAAGACGCCTGTCACTGGGGGGCGGGGGGGGGCGACACCAAACGAAAGGGCCCCATCAAAGCGCTCTCACCGCTACTGTGTAATCTACAGGAACGGGCCGCGTCGGACTGCGTACACAGTACCGATGCTATCCGGCCAAAAGGCGAAAAGGTACATTCCAGATGCTTGGGGCTGCTTGCGTCGTTCCCAAGCAAGGGGCCCCACCGATCACAGCGGCCAAAACCTACAAAAACAATGCATGAGACATGAATTTTTCAGGAGGCTGAGGTCAACGGTCGGGGGAAAAATGCCAAGAGTAAGCCTCGGAACCCACGCGCTTGGTTGCACTTACGCCAGAAACACTTGTGCAATTAAGATGCGAGTGTGGTGGGTGTTGCCGTAACTGTAGTTTATACGAAGTATATATTTTCACGCTGACACACGGCTGTACTGATGAACCCACAGAGCCTCCATCGCATTCATAGCAAGCGACCTCTATCATAATTCCAGGCCCATGTAAGAGGAAGAGCAGCGGCTTCGGCTGCCACAGGCCCAATGCATCCAAGGTACGGGGGGGGGGGGGGGG